GGCCGGCGCCCGGCCCTCAGTGCTCATGGGGCATGGAGGAGAGGGCGGCAGCTGGCGCGGGCTGCCGGGAGCCGCCTGGCCCCCTGCGGGCCGCCGCCGTCCCGTGCTTCGGCATCTTTGTGCACCAGGACGACATCCTGCCAGGCGCCCTGCGCCTTATCCAGGAGCTGCGGCCGCATTGGAAACCGGAGCAAGTTCAGACCAAGGTAGCGGAGCGGGCGTCCGGGGACGTCTGTCCGCGCATCCTTCTGGGCCTCGGTCCCAGGGGGCGCGGCTGCTGCGTAGGAGCATTGGGATGGGGGTTTGTGTGTTCGTTTCCTTCTCCGTCCACCTCCAGCGCCCTCCACACACACCCCTCCTCTCTGGCCTGCGGGCTGGCACCCCGGAGGTCCACCTGCCCGCTGTCAGCGTGCTGTGCTTGCGGGCCCCACCCCCTGTGGAGGCACGCTGCTGCCTCTTGCTGCCCACCGGCGCGTACCCAGCCGGATCTAAAACCTGCTGTGGCAGGAACTTTTCAGGAAATCCCCCACATTCACACACACGTTGCTGCCCCTCTGCACCCCGCCATGGGGAGGAAAGCCTCCAGGAACTGAGCGGCCCCTGCCGGTCCCGGAATTTCCGGCTAGCTCTTAGTCCCTACGCTGTGTGGAACCCTCCCCATCGCCCCGGCTCTGGCTCAGCAACGCGCCGCCCACCGCCCCCCACACACTCACTCACACCGGGCGCTTCCTCACCACCAGCCGGGCACAGTCTCAGGTACACTGAGGTCGGCAGAGCCCCCCACTGAGAAGCCTCGGGCTGCCTCCCCATCTGACCTGCATCCATTAGTCGTCACCTGCTCACACTCCCATCTCCTTTGGGAGCTGCCTGTGGAGAATGGGCCTGGAGGTGGGCACCTGTCCTGCGGGGGGTGGGGGGAGGGGCACCTGTAGCTTGTACTGGAGTGGTGAGGGCTCCATACTGATGGGCCTTTTGGAAGGGGAAAAGTGAGGTTCAGGACCAAGCGTGGAGGCTGACAGAGTCCTTTTGGGAAAGCATTTTCAAAATAAAAGGCTCAATTTGGTGTAAAAGTGTCAAGGCATCAGGCAGACCAGAGGTTGATTCCAGTACTGGCTTAAC